CTACAATGACAGACAACAAATATTACATTTATAGTATTACAACTAAAACCGTTTTTGACGCCGCCACCGCAGTTTGTCCAAATTGGACATAACTGCCTTCTCGTCAGGCCTGTCCGAGGCCTGCTTCGAGGCAGTAAATCTTGTTTCTTCACTCGAGGTGACCCCTACAAGACCATCAGCTCCTCATTCACTCACTTATCAGAGGGAGATCCTCTGGTCTCGGCCCGTGTGCTCCAGTGTGGAAAATGTTCATGACACCAAGATTTTCGTGGAAATCTTTATTTTACCTAGACAGAAACACAAGATCCAAGAATAAAAAATACTCTGTGAAATGATCAACAGGATTTATTGCAATATGCAAGACACACATTGTGTCATACAGGCAGTGGCACAGAATGTGTGCCCCGAGGCAGTCTCGGATACACTCATTTATACAGCATGTTACAAAAACTGGGCCAAGGAGAGAATGATGTTTGATAAACAGCAACAAGAATTATTACTTCTAAACAGATATTGTCCTGATCTTGAAACGCTTTGTCTGAGAGAAAACAAGAGATAATGAGTAACATCATAAAACATGATCACATTTTACAGTAAGCAACAGAGGTCACTGACTCTTGACCTGAGAAGAAATGTAGGACTTTAAAGGATAATTTATATTTCCAAGACATATACATTCCTTCAAGGAATGCTTGGTTCTGTTTTTGTGTCTCTGACATCCAGTAAAACTATGTCCAGTTCATTTAGTTCAGATTTCATTTAAAACTGCTTCCTGTTGGCTTCAGCTCACATATTTTATTCTTTATTCAGATTGAGGAGCTGTAATTTGTCAGAGATCAGCTGTTCTTCTCTGGGCTCAGCTCTGAGGTCCAACCCCTCTCACCTGACACATCTGGACCTGAGTGACAACAAATTGTCTGACTCTGGAGTGAAGGAGCTCTGTGGTTTCCTGGAGAGTCCAAACTGTAGACTGAAGGTTCTGAGGTCAGTTCACTGCAGCTGTTGGAGATTTTCTGTTTGTCCAACTAAAATCATTCACTGATCCTTCAGAATTTATTGATTTATCAATGTTTCATTCATTTAAATGGTTGAAATAGAATATGTCTGTTTAGAATTTTGTCTTTTCAAATCTGTAACGTTTTTGGAACAAAAACTTATTTGTTGCTTGTTTAAAAGACTGTAGCAACTCAAAATGCAATGTTTGCAAATGTTTACGGTTCTAACAGAAATTGTTCATCAGAAGTTTGTAGTTTGAAGATAAATGTAACTCAAATGCATCACACACACACACACACACACACACACACACACACACACACACACACACACATATATATATATAGTATATAAGTTTAATGTGTGTGTGTGTGTGTGTGTGAACACACACAGGAATGCTAGGCCTTTAAGTGTTTATGTTTTTGTGTCTCTGACATCCAATAAAACCTATTCTATTTCAGATTGAACATGAATCCTGTTGATTTCAGCTCACACCTTTTATTCTTTATTCAGATTGTGGGACTGCAGTTTGTCAGAGATCAGCTGTTCCTCTCTGGTCTCAGCCCTGAAGTCCAACTCCTCTCATCTGACAGAACTGGACTTGGGTGGGAACAGAAACCTGTCTGATTCTGGAGTGAAGGAGCTCTGTGGTTTCCTGGAGAGTCCACACTGTAGACTGGAAAATCTGAGGTCAGCTCTATGCATCTCTTGGAGGTTTTCTGTTTGTCCAACCAAAATCATTCACTGGTCCTTCATAATTTATTGATTTATAAATGTTTCATTAACTTCCATGTTTTAATTTGAACATGTCTGTTTAGAAAGCAGGAGGAAGCAAGGACAGTAGAACTTAGTTACAGCAGCAGGATGGGTTGGAAGATAGTTATATGACTATTTTTTGTTCTACAAGCTCTGACATGTTAAATTTGAAACTGGATTATTGAAAAAATCACCCAAAAACTTGTTTTGGACACTCGAGTAAAGAGAAAAGTTGAGCTGTCAACTTATCACCACCTGGTAGTGAGTTGGATCAGATGGCGGGGGAAGATGCTGGACAGATCTGGTTGAAGGTATATAAGAAGGCATTTCACCATGTTCCTTAAGATACATGTGGTGGGTATTACCTGAATATGGGATTGTGGGTCCATTGTTATGGGCCATTCAGTCTCTATACAAGTGGTGCAGGAGTTTAGTCTGCATTGCCGGTAGTAAGTTGGACCCCTTCAGAGTGGGAGTTGGACTCCACCAGGGCTGCCCGTTCAGAACTTACATGGACAGAATTTCTTAGTGCAGCCATGGGGTGGAGGSAGTCTGGTTCGATAACCTCAGGATTCCATCTCTGCTCGATGACATGGTTCTGTTGGCRTCATTCATCGTACAGTGATCTTCAGCTCTCATTGAAGCAGTTCACAGCTGAGTGTGAAGTAGGGCTGTGTATTGGCAAGAATTTGGCGATCCGATACATATCATGACAGAGGGGTCACGATACGATATATCCCGATATATTGCGATACTGTAAGAAAGGCGATATTTTGCGATTTTTTTTGTCCAAAAATTCTATTAAATAAACTCCTCTTGCAGGAAAAACATAAAAAAACAAAATTCATTGTCTCAGAAAATTCTAATATTACATAGACTGCTTTGTCTGTGTTTTATTTTATTTGTTTCATATTTCATCCATGTTTTCAATTATTAGACTAAATTTGCCAATAAATAGTTTGAAAATATATTTTTTGCAGTTTTTTGTTTTTAATATTAATTTACAATATGGTCACCCAAAACTTAACAATAGCGTTTATGTTGTCATAAAGTTCAGTAAACAGATGATATGAAGCTGCTGCACACAGAGTTTCTGGGATCAGATGACCTGCATCCAGAACATGATTTGTATAACTGTGGGTCAAACAGCAGGGCAGGTCCTGAAAATAAACAGTAAATAAATGGAGAAGCTAAACAGCACAGTTAAACCATTTTTGAAGCGAACACAGCAGGATAAACTTAAAGTACGTGGACTTTGATGTGATCAGCCGGACATTGAGAGCAACAGACAGAGTTTTATGTCACGGAGGGAGTGCCGAGCTCGACACGCTAGACAAATGCGCTATATGCCTGCCTGTAATGTGAAGGCTGACCACAGTTGGAAAAAGAGCGCATGAGACAATCAATTTGTCTTAAAATACAGACATTCTGTCAAATAAGTAACTGTTTGTAACCTTACCTCAGCTTAGAAGGCAGAGGGTGTCGGTCTTTTCTGCTCAGATTCAGCTATCGGAGCATGAAGCTAATGTTTACTTACAATTCTAATGCTACTGTTACTCTCTGGCGCTCAAGAGCTAGAGGAAAATGAACAGCTGGAAGGAAAGTTGACGTTTTAAACTTTAATAAAAAATCGATACAGGGCTTTAGAATATCGATACAGTATCGGGAAATGAAATATCGCCATATTTCAGTGTATCGATATTTTCTTACACCCCCTAGTGTTTACAACAACACCTAATTTCCCTCTGGGATCAATAAAGTATTTTTGAATTTGAATTTGAATTGAAGCAGCTCGGAAGAAGATCAGCAGCTCCAAATCTGAGTCCATGGTCCTCAGTCGAAAAAGGGTGGATTTCTCTTCCCAGGTTGGGGTTGAAGGTCTGCCTCAAGTGGAGGAGTTCGAGTATCTTTGGGTTTTGTTTACAAGTGAGGGAAGAATGGAATGTGAGATTAACAAGACAGCTTTGCTTCCTATCCCTCACCACCTCCACCCTCTTCATTTTCAACTCCACTCATGTAGGGCTTTTGGTGTGCAGGTGTGTTACAAGGAGCAACAATTTTACATCTCTGTTTGCCGTGACCACCTGGGCCCCAATATTACTGTACACTCTGGACATTCACTTATAACATCCTCCCCCACTGACACCAGTATGCACCGGAGCATCCAGTCTGATGGAAGGCTGATTCAGATATAAACTGAACTGAACAAGAATGTCAGATAATTATTTAATTGGCTCTGAACAACTACTTCGATATCAAAATGCTACAAGTAACATCTATGTTTAGCTACCTCAGTAAACAAACAGCCAGCTGAATGTGACGTCACATCTTTTTCTGCGCATTCAAATCACATCAGTTCGGTGGTCCTGAAGTGCAAACCACAACAACAAATCACTAAACAGAAAACAAAGAGGATCTAATGAGCAGGGAACAAGGAACACCTGGAGGAGAGTCATAAAACACAGGTGAGAATGGGCAGGGTCTGCGCAGAGCATGCAGGAGAAACTGAATAGAAAAACACAGGGAATCAGAAATCTGAAGACAAACCGTCTGTCCGTCCGTCTGTTTTCTGCCACTTATCCGGGATCGGGTCGCGGGGGCAGTAGCCTAAGCAGAGAGACCCAGACTTCCCTTTCCCCAGCCACTTGGGCCAGCTTGTCTGGGGGAATCCCAAGGTGTTCCCAGGCCAGCTGAGAAACATAGTCCCTCCATCGTGTCCTGGGTCTTCTTCTGGGCTTCCTCCCAGAGGGACATGCTCAGAACACCGCACCAGGAAGGCGTCCAGGAGGCATCCTAACCAGATGAACCACCTCAACTGGCTCCTCTCTACGTGGAGGAGCAGCAGATCTACTCTGAAGGGCTCGACACACGGGCAGCGATAGCGATCGCAGCGTTGGGAATCGCACTCTCAGATCGCTTGTCTTCACAAAATTTGATTGGTTCTTGACTCTGAAGGCGGGTGTGCATTACGGACGTGTAAACTAAACAAATCTTGCGATGCTAATGATATTGAAAAACAAACACACATCAAGATACAGTTTTATGAGGAAAAACTTACCATAAACTTCACCCTGGTGCCAATAAATTCCCACAAAGTTTTTTAGTAATCACTTGGTGAAAGTGTTAGCTAACTGCAGTGTGTAGCATACTCTCCTCTCATTGGTCAGTCAATGAAACCCTCGCTGATTGGTTGCACGCTAAGCGACAGCGACAAAAGTTGAACATTTTTCAACTTTCATATGTCATGTTGCAAGCTCGCGGGTGCATGTCTACGTGTACGAGGTGAAATTTCACATGCACTATTTTCGCCGGTCGCTTAGCTGGAGGAGGGCAAGCGATTGTCGCCTCACCGCACAGGCTTCATAGGAAATGAATGGAGAGAGAGCGACGTGTGTCAAGCCCTTGAGTCCCTCCTGGATAACTGGCTTCTCACCCTATCTCTAAGGGAGAGCCCAGACACTCTGCAGATGAAACTCATTTAGGCCGCTTGTATCCGTGATCTCGTTCTTTCGGTCACTACTCAAAGTTCGTGACCATAGATGAGGGTAGGAACGTAGGCAAACCGGTAAACCGAGAGCTTCACCTTCTGGCTCAGCTCTCGCTTCACCACGACAGACCTGTACAGCACTCGCATTACTGCAGATGCAACACCAGTCCGCCTGCCGATCTCTCGCTCCATTCTTCCCTCATTCATGAACAAGACCCCGAGATACTTAAACCCCTCCACTTGGAGGTGCTCATATTATGTCAAAGTTGAGTTGTTTGAAGGCAAAACAAGACAAACCAAGACCAGATAACTAGAAAAAAACACTAAAACAAAATATTCATAAAGAGGCACAGACATGACATGCTGCAGTTAAAGCCCAAATTCATTCTTATTTTTAATTTATTTTACTTCACTTGAGTCAATGTTGTATTCCTACTCTGTTTTTCCTCCTTTGTCACCCAGAGCTGTGGGCCTTCTACTTGGAAGCCAGAATGAAGAAATCCCTGGAGACCTGCTGCTGTAAAAAAAAAATTTAACTACCTCTGTAACCTCAGCCGCCTTTATGGACAGAGACAGACCAAGCCCTAAGTTTCCCTCATCTTTTTCTTTCATAGAAAATGTGCCGGTGGGCTTTAGAAGGTCAGAGAAGTATTCCTCCCACCTCTCAACTTAAGTGGTTGAGGTTAACAGCACCCCACATTCACTAGCTGCGTTTCCATTGACCATGAAAATGCGTAAATTAGAATTTCGAAAATAAATTTGCTCCATGGAAACACGTCAGTTTCGAAAAAAATTATGTTTTTCGACAAAATGTTTTTGTGCTAGGATGAGGTCGTACTTCGGCCGTATCAAAATTGGTGTTTTTCGCAAAACTACAATGGAAACACTTTTTCGCATCACGGGAGTCACGTGATCAACAACCGGCTGTTTCTACTGGCAAAAAGACGATGACAAAGAAGATAACAGGAAGTAGAAATAGTAGTAATATCACAGAAGTTGTATAAAATAGTAAACTCACTGACTACAATTTCCCAAAAACACAGCATACGTAGCCGCTCCCAAGTAGGGACTTGTCTCTGGAAAGCCTCGATAAAAGACGTCGACGTCTCCTCTGATGATGAGCGCTAGTGTCGTGGTAGCAACATGCTATGTGTTTACATCCATTGCCGCCATGTTTGTAATGACTTATCGCGAGAACAAACGTATTCACGCGTGACTTTAATATCATTTCTTAATGGAAACACCGCAGTTGCGAAACTGTGTTTTTCGACATTAACAGAATATCGACAAAGTTTTGCACACATTTGCAATGGAAACGCAGCTAGTGAGTGCAGTGTTAATGAAGTCCTGCTTTCCCCACCTCAGCTGCCTGATGGTTTGCCAGAATCTTCTTGGAGCCAGTTGTGAATCTATCCAAGGCCTCACCATACTCCTCCCACATTTGAGTTTTGCCTCAGCAACAGCCAGGGCTGCAACCCGCTTGGCCTGCTGATATTCCTCAGCTAGTTATTGTCCTACCAGACAACAAGGCCTGATAGGACTCTTTCTTCAGATTGACAGCCTCCCTTACCCGTGGTGTCCACCACTGAGTTTGATGATGGTCGCAGCGAGAAGCACCAACAACCTTGCAGCTACAGCTCAAGGCACCTGTCTCTACGATTAATTCTGTTTTTGTGTCTCTGACAAGCCAGTTAGTGCATGTTTCAGTTTTAACCTGCATCCTGTTGGTTTCAGCTCACATCTTTTATTTTTTCTTTAGGTTGAATGACTGCAGGTTGTCAGAGATCAGCTGTTCTTCTCTGGTCACAGCTCTGAAGACCAACCCCTCCTACCTGACACATCTGGACCTGCGTCACAACAACCTTCATGAAAGAGATGTTAAGCAGCTCTTGGATCTTGTGGAGAGTCCAGACCACCAACTGAAGAGACTGAGGTCAGTCAATGGTCTTAGTTAGGGCTTGACTGTATGACCTTAAAATGAGTTATAATGTTTTATAAAAGTTTGCATTAGCAATTTTTACATTCTGACCTTTATTAGTTTCAGCTGAAGTTCTGCAGCTTCATTAGAGCTTCAACATGTATCTGAACATTTGACTGAAGTTTTTCTGGGAAACATTTCACCTAAATGAGCACTGATTTAATTATTTTTGATAAGAAAATGTTTTATTTATCTCATAAAGCTGTGAAGTCTTCAGTAAAGTCCATCTTGTTCCTTCTGACATGTTTTCATGCAAAAGACTTCTGTGATGTGAGTCTGGTTCCTTTGATCGGACTGAACTGTTCAAGACATTTTCTTTTAATCCACGTCAATCAGAAACTAATAAAACACAAAGGTTCTTCCAAATCCTCCACATCGTTCAGACACCATGAACGTTGTGTTTAGATCACAAGTTTGAACAAAGGTTTCTGCTGCTTTTCTATCAGGCTGAAATTTATAACAGTATTATTGAAGACAAGATGATACGGCACAGTCCTGGTCCGGACTGCTGTAGTCCACTCATCTCATCTGTCCTTTGTTTCTTCCAAATGTCTGTAGTGACAGCCTCCATAGTCACCTTATAGTGTATTCAGAGTTTGTGTCTTTGTATGGAGCAGCAGTTGACATGTAACAGCAGGAAATCCATCCCTCCAGTGTCTGTGCAGTAATGATGACTCAGCACTTTGTTTCCTCTGTGGACTTGAGTGAAAGCTGCAGAGGAAACAGACTTGATGCTGGAAGTCTCTGCAGCTGTGTGAGCTTCACTCCACAGCTGAAGGCCTGCTGCCCTTCCTACTAGAACCAGAATCAGCTATATTGTCATTCACACACAACATCAAAGATGCAATGCAGAACGAAGTTGCAGTTAAGAACACTCGGTTCAGGAGAAAGACACACATAACAAACATGGAGGTGAACGGATGAGCAGGTCTTGTGCAAACACAGTCGTGCTACCTTTTTGCAGTTTGGAAAATAAACAATAGGATAGGTGAGTTTAGAAAATTGTTCTGATCCTATATTTGCTCATAAACACAGAATCATCTGCAAAAAAACAACTCACTAAAGCAAGGCAGCTGGGGAGGGGAGGGTGCTGGGGATCAAACACATGGTACAGGGGATTCAGTGGAGCCGGTGATGTTCCAGGTTAATACTCCATGCTGGAACCGATCCAAGACCAGGACCCGCCAGAGTCCAGAGACCAGATCTTATCGTCCTAAGCTCAAACCCAGAGTTCAGGGTTTCACATATAGTGGGGAATCAATCCTTTGTTGACATATCATCCATGGAAGTTTTGATAACTGCAACTGACCAAGGCCAGCAGCTGCAGGGATCCAAAAGAACACAACTGTTTTGGGACAAGCGGTCTTGAATTTCTTGCCACTTTACAGTCTCAACTGCATCTCTGAAATAGCAAAAATGTCAAATGTTCCGAATTCATCACCTCCTTGCCTCTTCTGTCTGAAACTTCACCCAGGTGTAATCGTACATCTCATGGGCATGCTGCTGAGCTGCGATTCTCGTCAGAATCACTTACAGTTTGCGACTTATTTCCCCCAGCATCTGAGCCTGTGCGTTTCCAGTACAGGAGACTCTATCCAAGGTTCCTGACAGGTTTTCACAGGCCCAGACAGCTGTCAGGATCGCTATCATTTTCCGATAAGCCAGATATCCGCCGATCAGCAGAAATCCAGTTATCATAAATCCAAATATGTACAAATCTTCCATGTCTTCAATGGAAAGCGGCACCAGACAGATCAGGTTCCAGCCCCAAGAACCAGTGGCCCAACCAGCAGCAACCATTCCACTGGGGCAGCTGCGCTGTCCTCGCTCCAATCTCAATGCGGAAAAACAATTGTGTTGATTGCGTTCAGAAACCAGTTGACCAAATTCATAACTCCTTTTGTTTTCGGATGATTGGTGAAGAAAGGCTTGAAAAAGCTGCCAAGCAGGAAAGGAGGGACAGGTTCGGGAGAGAGAGCAAAAAGCGTCCGAATCCTCTGAAGGCCAAGCAGACTAGGTCAAAGGTCTTCAACTTTTCCCAGTCTGTGACCCACAAACTGATGGAGAGACGGAGCAAGGAATCCCTACTACACAAATATGTATACATTATTAGTGTATACTGACATAAGTTGTTGACTGTTATTAGTTTTGTAGAAGCATTGCAAAAAGTATGTCACCAATAGACTTTCAGCCAATTACTGGACAACAGGTCCTTCTATTTAAGTGCAGAATGCATGGAAGGTCAAACTGTGAGTGAAGCAAAATTTAGCTGGTGTGCCCTCTTAATGTCTGCATTCATGACTGAAATACATTAATTTATGCCTCCATTTATCAATTTATTACATGGATTCATGTTGGTCTGTATGTACAAAGTTCGCAGCAAAAAAATTTATTTTAGAAAATCATGAGAATGTCTGTATTGCTTCAGTTGTTAACTGTGTGTAACTTTGTAGTTTTTGTGTATTTTATGTAAAGCACTTTGAACTGTCTTGTTGCTGAAATGTGCTATACAAAAAAATTGATTGATTAAGTTTTTATTATTTTTAAATATGGCAAAACTATTACTCTTGCCGTTTTAATTTTTCATACAATTGCGGAAAGTGAGCTGATATATTCCATTTAGAGAACGTGTATCAATGTAATGCTGTATTTAATAACTTTAATATTAGTTTTTTCTACAGTTATTAGTTTAATTGCAAGAAGCAGTTTTGGTTAATTAATTCCATTAGGTTTTGCATATTGTGGTGTAAAAAAAAACAAAAATAAAACAATGTCCTGAAATATTTGTTAAACTCCAAACAATTGGCTTCGGTCTTGGTCTTGGCCTCAGAAGGTCTGGTCTCAGTCTTGGTCTTGGAACAGCCAGTCTTGACTACATCTCTGCTATTTAGTATTCAGCAAGTTGTGATTAAATAAACACGCTACTTCATTGCACCAGCCAAACAGATTACACTGAGTGGAGCAGGTGACTGTTCCAAGATGGCAGCTCCACAGGGTGTCTAGATATCTATTCTTCATAATGTTTATGGGCAAAACCCCATTGTTGAAGACCTCTGTACTAGATGATGCTGCAGGACTGACTGACAGCTGATGGAGAGGCTGCAGACAGGAAGTGACCTCAACTCTGACTCTGTCTTCTCTCTGCAGGTGAAAGGGATGGACTTCTCATGAAGGAAAGATCATCTAAGATGATCCCCAGAGGTTGAAGCAGCAGCAGATTGATAAGAAACTGACTGGATCCTGATTAGGATGAACTTTGGCTTTAATTGATTTTATGATTACCAGAATATTATATTTGATAGGTTGATTACTGCAGTTGTGTTGTATTTACTCTGAATTAATAAACCTAATATCAAGTTTTGAAAAATCATTAAATTACTGTATCTTTGAATGGAGCTAAAATCACTTTTTGTAGGAACAATCTGAGTTTTACAAAAACATTTAAGTCTTCCAGCTGCACAGTGGAACAGAAGAAGGGGGTCCATGGGGTCATAAAAGATGACCAGAAGATAGTCAGTTGCCCTCTCCTCTCACTGGAAGAGCTTCAACATGTAATCCATCATTTATTACAAACTGTACAAAGGTCAGGCAGATGTTACAGGACAGTTAGGGCCAGAACTAACAGAGTCAAACCCCCACAGACTTCATCCCACTAAAAGCTGCCAAATGGTGACTAACGGAGGATAATTTTATTTTAATTAATCCAGGAAATGGGCAATAATTAAGAAATTGGTGTACAGTGGGCACTCTGCAACCTGCATGGGCTTTCTTCTTGTTTTCTACTTTTATAACTTGCAGATTTAAAATCTTTAACTTGTCTATCTTGTTTGTTAGTTGTTAGTTGCACTGGTTACATTGACAACAAAGTGATTCTGATACAAACACATATATTGTATTAAAGAAATACCAAAAAATACTGTTTTTTTATTTTATTTTGTACTTTAGTTCTGCCAGCATCGCTCACATGATAAATCAGGAAGTGTCATGTTGTGATTATCAAGATATCCTATTATACATGTACACGTTTATGATTAAACTAATGAAGTTCATTGTGTCTATACATCTGATTAATCTTAAAAAACTTTTCTTTGTTAATAGACACTGTTATTTTATGTCACTTCAGACATACCTGACATGTTTCAACGTATTACTTCCGTCTTCATCAGCTGTAACACCTCTGATGAAGACAGAATACGTCGAAACGTCAGGTCAACCCATTCTCACTCCCGAGTCGTCACATGTTGACACTTTTCCAAAGTTCCCTCTCCGTCCAATTTTGACGCGTCGGGTACTCCCCTTGCGTCATTTTTTGACGAGATGGGGCGGAATCTGTTGTCATAATTTCTGAAAGTGTAGAAAATGCACAAAAACTACCATCCCAAAGCCTAAAATTACCTTTATTCACTTTAGACATCCTGTCCCTGACCCTAGTACCTAAAATTAACCATTTTTAGAAAATGTAGGAAATTCACATAAGCTACGTGTTCCAAAGCCTAAAATTACTTAATATTCACTGTAAACATCATATCCCTGACCCCATTAATCCTGATCCCTCATGTTAACCTCAGACCCCCGACCCAAAGACCCCAGGTGGCTCAACCCAGAAAAGCCACGGGCAGCAAGGACTGACGCAAGGGGGTCACCTGACGCGTCAAAATAAGACGCAGAGGGAACTTTGGAAAAGCGCCAATATGTTGACGAGTCAGGAGTGAGAATGTGTAAGTAAGTAAGTAAGTAAGTAAGTAAGTAAGTAAGTAAGTAAGTAAGTAAGTAAGTAAGTAAGTAAGTAAGTAAGT